TGGGCAAAGATGGAAATGAATTTGTTGGCATAATTGTATTTATAGTTGCAAATAAGAAAGAGAGGGAGAGTGAAACAAAGCAAGTATTTAAAAATTAAATGAAATAATAACACCAAAAGATTATTATTCCATAAATCATTTTCAAAAATCGAATCTTCCAAACACAATTTTTGTCATGTATGTTTTCCAGCTCACATGGTTGACAAATTTCTAAATTCAAGATTTTGGATTAAAAAAATATATATTTAAATGGGAAAGTTCTTAAGTGAGCAGTTTTTTTTTTAATCAAGGGTGAATTTACAAAATTGGAATAAAAGGTAAAAATTGCAATGTTTATCTACCATAGAGTTTAACCGAACAACGTAATGAATCATGAGAATGGGAGCTGAGAAAGAAGGGAAAAAAACGTAATGAATCTAAGGTTACATAAGGACGTTTCGTGAGTTAAAGCTCTATCCTGACCCAATTTTCAAGTCTTCAAAAACTTTGTGATTATAAAGACAAAGACCAATAACAAATAAACCATAAGCAAAATAAAATAAAAATAGGATAAATTTAATTCAAATAAAGACAAATGACATCACATTAGATGTAAAAGGAGATCCAATTACAAGATAAGATACTATATCGATTGGAGAGAGGAACGAGAGTTAGCGAGGACGCTGGGCCTCGAAGGGGTGTGGGTTGTGAGATCCCACATCGATTTGAGAGGGGAACGACATTGATTGGGGAGAGAAATGAGTGCCAGCGAGGACGATGGTCTCCGAAGAGGGTGGATTGTGAGATCCCACATCGGTTGGGGAGGATAACGAAGCAGTCTTTATAAGGGTGTGGAAACCTCTCCCTAGCTGACACGTTTTAAAAACTTTGAGGACAAGCCGAAAGAGAAAACCAAAAGAGAACAATATTTGCTAGTAGTGGGTTTAGACGGTTGCAACAATGTTGTTCAAATTTATTACAAAGGGAAAATGAGTTTGGGACACAATTACAAAATGAAATACAAAAGACTCAAATACAAAGACAGAACGACGCTTCGAAACAATCGCCTATGTGACCACACAACTCTCGAACACTCCTCCAACTCAACCGACAGCATATGAACACCTAAAAAAGAAAGGAAAAAGGGTGAGTACATAACGATCCCCTGTGTGACAGCACAACTCTCGAACACTCCCCCAGCTCAACCGGCAGCCTATCAACACCTAAAATAGAAAGGAAAAAGGGGTGAGTCTAAAAATATTTAGTAAGCAACCTACTCTCTTATTGTATCCTTAATCCACTCCTCCAGCTCAATTGGCAGCCTATCAACACCGAGAAAAGAAAGGAAAAAGAGGTGAGTACAAAATATTTATAAGCAACCTACTCGTATGCTCTTGTCGCATTCTTAATCCAGTTGGTATCTATGGGTTTTTCTCTAGGTTTTTTGTTCTTTTGACTTAGATAGTTTTAATGAGACACTATGATGTTTTTTTTTACCCTAAATATCATCCATGGAAGGTTAGCTTCATCTAAGTTTGGGGGGTGTGATCCCCCAAGCATTGACCACCTATTAGGTCAACCTATGTGGTTCCATACCCTGCTCTCAAGAACAGATTTACAGCATAGTAGCCGTGTTCAAGGAAATCCGAGTCATTTCCACAAGTTTGGCACATCTAGTCATCTTGACGCACATCCCTAACCATTCTAGGTTTAGCTCAATAGTACTGGTATGAGGGTGGAAAGGGTAGTAGATACTTTACTGACACCGTTCACTGTTATTAGCCTGAGAACTACGTTAATCATTCTTGGGTATTGTGGTAGTCTACTAGGTTTTATGGACACTTGAGCTGTTTAAATCTCATTTCATTTTTTGTTTCCACAACATTTAGGATTAGCTCCTAAGGGGGCTAAACTAATCTCCGGGTTCACATAGGTCTCTGATCGTTGCTCACAATCCTAGGGTGTAGGTTCTCCTTAGACAATTAAACATTTCTTATGAAAGATTCCTTCTTCCTTAAACCTTTTATTAGGGTCCAACTAGACCGCTAAGTAGTCAAAGTTGTCAAAACGACTATTTTACCCCTGAAGTTCATTTCGACCTAATTTTTCACTATTGTCTTTTATATGTTTATTTTTATTTTTTTTGGAGTTTCTAGAATTTCTCTAAATATTTTACTCTTCTACTCTATCTTAAAATTCAGTCTCTAGACCTCTCGATAAAAACTCAAAAGCAAAAATAAGGTATTTAATTTTTCACCCTCGAGTGTCTTCTAGATACGAAGCCTTGCAGATTTGATAGTATCCGAGCTAAGAAAAGAATTAAGATGCTCAAACTTGGATCGAATGACTCTACAATAATTTATTTTTAGACTTAAAGTTTTAATTTTTTTTCAATAAAATATTAATTTTCTATTTTAGCTTTTATTTTGAAATATTTGTAGTTTAGAGATCTTTTTTCCTCATTAATCATCACTTGCATAAACTTTTACCCTTTCCCTCTCCCTCTCCCTCGTGGGGAAATCATGAAGCCTTATGTTTTGTATCAAAATTTTAATAAGTAATTATGACTATGGACCTAACTTTAACATACAATTATATAATTCAACTTTGTTTTCACTCCTTTCAAATTCTTACACTCTTTCTTCTCATCTAAAATATTCGGTTCATATGAATAAGTAACATCGTTCATTAGGTTAGGCTCATTAGGTATCACCAAGTTTAATCCTATCGTCATCAACCTCACGGTTTAATTTAAAATTTACAATTATGTGAAAATTCATAATAAATACTTCATGGACTTACCCATTTAATTTTAAATAAGAAAATAAAAATAATATAATTTTTGGACATGAAGAATGAAATAAACCATCTATCAACTACTAAATGAAATTTAATGCATAATGCTGTCCTATTTTACTTTTATAGTCTTTCCAGCATTCACCGTCATTCGCGACTCGAAAAATATAAGAGTCTTAAAAAATATAAGAATAGTATGTGGCTTGACTATTTTAAGAAATACTGAGTGAGTTATGCCACTGTAGAGGTTAGTAATGCAATCACACACATAACATGATTGGGACCTATCCTTTAAAACCATACCATGGCCTTGAATTCTTTCTAGTTTCGAGCTGGGTTAGATGTGTTGTACTTCCCCATACACAATTACGCATGGACACATGGACCCACCAGACGGGCTCGTATACATACCACATCACTGGACGCTATAGAAAAAGAAAGGCCTACATGATATCTTGACGAACATAAATATCGAAGGTATGCATCCGTACTAACATAACATAACGGAGAAGTATGCCGATGCACATTACGTACATACATGCATGAAGTCTCTATGATTTTACATTCATATACATGACAATCATGTGTGTATGCATGTTTGATTCCATTAGAGAGGCCTACTTATTGAGTATTTTTAATACTCAACTTTTTTCAAAATATTTTTATTTATCTTTATTTGATTTGATGTCGAGTTAAACAAATATCTTTTTTTCCATACATTTTTATTAGTATACACGTGTTAATGACTTTAGAGAAATCGTATCGTTTCATCGCCATTTTGTGATAGACACAAGAGAAAGAGTTTGCATGTTCAAACCCTTCAAAAGAAAAATCAAATTTCAAAAGATATTTAAGGACACTATCGTTAAGAGTGAAGCGAATGAATATGTTGCGAGTAAGAAAGATTGTATCGAGAATTTTCTGAATTATTCGATACCACATTTGGTCCCGTTCCCTCCTTTACCTAAAATTCATATTGTATTCTAATATTTCTTGAGAAAAATTAACAAATCTAAAAAGTGGGTTCTCCTACGTATTAAAAAAGTTTAACCTGGTCAATCAAAACATATTTTTGAAGATAAAAATAAGCTTTCTATTAAAAAAGATTGAAAAATCTAAAAAGTGGGTTCGTCTATATATTAAAAAAAGTTTAGACTTGTCGATCCTAACATATTTTTGAAGGTAAAGAGACACTTAATACTAAAAAAGATCGACAAATCTAAAAAGTGAGTTCTCCTGTATATTAAGTAAAATTTAAATGTGTCTGATCAAAACATATTTTCGAAGATAAAAACACGTTTTATACTAAGAAAAGATCGACAAATCTAAAAAGTGGGTTCTCCTATATATTAAGAAAGATTTAAACTTGTAGATCAAAACATATTTTCGAAGATAAAATAGACGCTTAATACTCACAAAGATCGACAAATCTAAAAAGTGGGTTCTCTTATATATTAAGAAAGATTTAAACTTGTTGATCAAAATATATTTTCAAAGATAAAGACATGCTTAATACTCACAAAGATCGACAAATCTAAAAAGTGGGTTCTCCGATATATTAAAAAAGGTTTAAACTTGTCGATCAAAACATATTTCTAAAGATAAAAAGGCACTTAATATCTTGACTGAACTTATTAGTTCAATGGTTGATCGTACTTTATCATCCTAAAATCGAAAAAAAGGAAATATTTAGAATGTTTATACCTTTTCATACTAAATAAGCAAAAAAAAAAATAATAATAATAAAAATAAAAAAAAAAACCTAATAATCCAAAAAAAAAAAAAGCATCTTTCAATATTAACTCTATATGTACATAAATTATTGAAATGAACGAATGAATTTCCCCAATAAAGGAGAAGGAAAGGAAATTCAGAACTCGCATGCGCCGTGAGGTATACGCGTTAATGCAATGTGGGACATACACACAGCTCCAAACAGAATTTCACCTTCGCTTTCTTCCCTGTCTCCCTCTGTCTCCGTCTCTTCACCTTTCCCATTCATTTCATTTGGTTTCATTTACTTTCTGTTTCCATTGGCAACGTTTCTTTCAGAACCCTATGTCCACCCTCGATTAATTAAGGGAATGGTCATGGGTTTATAATCTAAGAATATACTCTCCATTAGTACGAGGCCTTTTGAGAAGTCCAAAGTAAATTTAGGAGAGTTATGCACAAAGTGGATAATATCATACTAGTATGGAAAGTCGTGTTCGTCTAACACCCACCCCCATTTTAAGTCCTCCCCTTCTCTTTTCCTCTGTTACCCACATTTTCATTTTGGTTCTTTGTGTTCTTCATCCAATTTCATTCCTCCCCTGGACTTCAATTCAATTTCTGGTGACGTTTCCCTCTGTTTTAGCTGTTTTCCTTTTCTGGATCTTGCTTGGATTGATGCAATCTGTTTTCCATTCAATTCTTGATGATTTGTTTTTGAAGATCGTTTGATTCTATGAAATGGGGTTGTTTCTATATGTGATTCTCTTCCTTTGATTCATCTGCATTTCTAGTAGGGGATTGATTTCTTTGTTTTTCTTAGTGAAAGTGCAAATGATCGGGAGATGATTGTTGTTTTTGAAGAGAAATTTCTCGTGCCTTTCGTATAATCTTAACTCAATGGATATTGATCTGTAATTTGAAATTTGGGTTCTTATTGTTAGTTTGTTTCCATTCCTGCATGGTTGGCTACTGTAGTTTGCATTATAAATCATATCAGCATCTTTGAAGTGTTTGAGATTTAGAAGTGATGATATCTTGAGGGGATCGGTTCACATTTCTGGCTGGTTTACTTGCAGAATTTAGTGATGAACTTAGTTAGAGTGTTAATTTTGCAGGATATTATACCACAGCTCCGTCCTGAACTGGATTCTTTGAGTTACTTTCGTGTAATATAACAAAAGATAGAGCGATTTCCCAAATGCTCAGTTTGAGTAGGTCGAGAAATCAATCGAGGTTCGGTAGATCGGTGTCATTTGGAGGTGAGTTTCTCTTATGCAGTGTCTTCAAAAATCGATGTACATTGTAGGTTGGCTGCATGTATGAGTGTTTGAAACTTTTAAGTTGCTTGAAAAGACATGAAAGTTGCTGCTCCTTAAGATCTTGAAGGTTATTTACTTGTTTTTTCTTACATTTACCTTCTTTTATGTATAGGTATGGATTATCCGGATCCCAAAAGGAAGAGCAATTTTGTAGGAAAGATCATTTTGGCTGCTTCACTTACAGCTATTAGTATTATTATGCTCAAGCAATCCCCAAATTTTAGCACCCCGACCCCGGTAGCTCTCGATCTCTAATGATTCTTTTATAGCTTTGTATAACTAATGACCGAGTTAGTTCCGCCATGGATTATGTTCTTTAACGTTGAAAGTCTACAATTCCTGTTGGAGGAATCTTCAGCCTTTTCACTTGTTATGTGGCATAGCATCTACTAGATCATATTTGATATGAGTCTAGCTGTCAGTCGTTTTGTGAGATCTCACATCGGTTGGAGAAGAGAACGAAACATTCTTTATAAAGGTGTGGAAACCTCTCCCTAGCAGACACATTTTAAAACCTTGAGAGGAAGCCCAAAAGGAAAAGCCCAAAGAGGACAATTTGTTCAACACTTGAGTTACATTTGACTAGAGCCATCGAACAAACTACACCCATTATTCAACACTTGAGTCACCTTTGACTACACCTTCAAGTCTCACAACGTCTTTGTTCCACACTTGAGGATTCAATTGGCATGGCTAAGTTAAGAGCATGACTCTGATACCATGTTAGAAATCATGAATCTCCACAATGGTATTAATATTGTCCACGTTCAGCATAAGGCTTCATGACTTTGCTTTTGGATTTTCCAAAGGGCCTCATACCAATAGAGATAGCATTCCTTACTTATAAACTCATGATCTTCCTCTTAATTAGCCAATGTGTGACTACTCCTCTTAAGAATCTTCAACACTTTCTTTATCGAGAAAAGACATGTCGAGAATCACCTTTTTCTAAGAGAACCATTATTTTATGCCATTTTGAAGTTGTTGTGCATGTTGTTTTCCTTACAGTTTGCAATTCATCAACCAGGAGTCACTCATGTCCTAGTAACAGGAGGTGCTGGATATATCGGTTCGCACGCTGCTCTTCGGCTATTAAAGGACTCTTACCGTGTAACAATAGTGGTATGTCCCTATAAATTTTGAAGGTTGAACCATGGTAGCCATTGGTGTTATGACCTTCATTTATGAATTCTTCCTTTGCCAGGACAACTTATCACGAGGAAATCTAGGTGCTGTAAAGGTTTTGCAAGAATTGTTTCCTGATTATGGAAGGCTTCAGTTCATCTATGCCGACTTAGGAGATGCAAAATCTGTATCCTTCCTATATGACTCTTTATGATATATATTTCTGAAGAATCCAAGTAATACCAGCTGCCTTGAACACCAATGTTGCCTTAACTGGTATGTTCAGGTCAATAAAATATTTTCAGAGAATGCTTTTGATGCTGTCATGCATTTTGCAGCAGTTGCATATGTTGGGGAAAGCACCCTGGATCCTCTGAAGTGAGTATAAACTCTTAGAATTGCCGTCTTTTTTTTTCTTTTTTGTTGATGGTCACTGGTCTCTTACTTCATCATGTAGATCGTAACGGCCCAAGCCCACCACTAGCAGATATGGTCTTATTTAGGTTTTCCCTTTCGGGCTTCCCCTCAAGCTTTCTAAAACGCGTCTGCTAGGGAGAGGTTTCCACACTTTTATAAAAAATGTTTCGTTCTTCTCCTCAACTGATGTAGGATCTCACAATTCACCTCCCTTCGGGACCCAACGTCCTCGCTGATGCTAGTTTCCTTCTCCAATCGATGTGGAACCCCCCAATCTATCTTCTTCGGGGCCTAGCGTCCTTGTTGGCACACCACCTCATGCCCACCTCCATTTGGAGCTCAACCTCCTCGCTAGCACACATCACCCAGTGTCTGGCTCTAATACCATTTGTAGCAGCTCAAGCCCACTACTAGCAGATATTGTTCTCTTTAGGCTTTTCCTTTCGGGCTTCCCCTTAAGGCTTTTAAAATGCGTCTCCTAGGGAGAGTTTTCCACACTCTTGTAAAGAATGTTTCGTTCTCCTCCCCAACTGACGTGGGATCTCATATAGATTGTGATAGAAGATTGTTTTCCTCTCCATTAGCGGATTTGATAGTTCATAAGCATATGCATACTGATACATAGCCAACATTTTATGAATTGATGGATGATGTTAAACAGTTCTTCTAAGATCATAAATCCAACTCCATTCTCCTTGTCAACCTTTTGATAGACATCTCTAAACATGAAGCTTCATTGTGGGAAAGAGAATTAGAAAACTTCTGAGCGGGGTATTTAGAAGTATTTAGAAGTAAATCATTTCTGAGCGGGGTATTTCTTGCTATGTAGGTATTATCACAATATTACTTCAAATACCTTGACAGTATTAGAATCAATGGCAGCACATGGTGTGAAGACATTGATATATTCTAGTACATGTGCCACATACGGAGAGCCAGAAAAAATGCCCATCACTGAAGAAACTCCACAGGTTCGTAACATATGCATCATCTTGTGTTCGAGGACTCATGGCTAGTTGGATTTCGTTGGTCATACTTTATTTGGTTTATGTGAGATCCCACATCGGTTGGAGAGGAGAACGAAGCATTCTTTATAAAGGTGTTGAAACCTCTCCCTAACCGACGTGTTTTGAAACCGTGAGGCTGACGGTGATGCGTAACGGGTCAAAGCGGACAATATCTACTAGCGGTGAACTTTGGCTGTTACAAATGGTATTAGAGTCAGACGCCGAGCGGTGTGCCAGTGAGGACGCTAGCCCCCTAGGGCGGTGGATTGTGAGATCCCACATTGGTTGGAGAGGAGGATGAAACATTCTTTATAAGGGTGTGGAAACCTCTCCCTAACATACATGTTTTAAAATCGTGAGGCTGGGCTGATGACGATACGTAACGGGCCAAAGCGGACAATATCTGCTAGCGGTGAACTTTGATTGTTACAAATGGTTTTAGAGTCAGACACCAGGTGGCGTGCCAGCGAGGACGCTGACCCTCAAAGAGGGTGGATTGTGAGATCCCACATCGGTTAAAGAGGAGGATGAAACATTTTTTATAAGAGTGTGGAAACCTCTCTCTAACAGATGTGTTTTAAAATCATGAGGCTGATGGCGATACGTAACGGGTATTACCGTTTATTTCTTCGACATGCTATAATTTTGGATGCAGACTGAAGTTTGGCTGATGAAAATTCATTTGTTTCATTGCAGGCCCCAATTAATCCTTATGGGAAGGCCAAGAAGATGGCAGAAGAAATCATCCTTGACTTTTCAAAAAATTCAAAGATAGCAGTCATGATCTTAAGGTTGTTCCTTTTTGCTTCTTCCTAGAACTTGCTTTCTGGAAATTACTGTATTCATGCTTCTGTGTCGAAAATCGTCCAGATACTTCAATGTCATTGGTTCCGATCCAGAGGGAAGACTTGGGGAAGCTCCTACACCTGAGCTTCGGGAGCACGGACGTATATCGGGTGCTTGTTTCGATGCTGCCCGTGGCATTATTTCCGGGATTAAGGTAATTTGCATATATTGAAAATGAAACATGTTCCAGAAATCATTGGTGTAATTATAAGATCCAGCTAAACTTTTTCTTATGATGTTTTCAGGTCAAAGGAACCGACTACAAAACACACGATGGAACATGCATACGCGATTATATCGACGTCACTGATCTCGTGGATGCTCATGTAAAAGCTCTAGAGAAAGCAACCCCTGGGAGAGTTGGAATCTACAACGTTGGGACAGGGAAAGGTTTGAAATAAATTGTTGCATTACTATACATTTTCCTTTCTATTTCCCAACAAGCAACCTAGACATGGCAAGCTGTAAGTTAGCTTTGGATGTCTTTGATCAGGCCGATCCGTGAAGGAGTTCGTTGAGGCGTGCAGGAAGGCAACTGGGGTCGACATCAAAGTCGAGTATCTCCCTCGTCGACCAGGTGACTATGCCGAAGTATTCAGCAACCCGACTAAGAGCAAGAACGAACTGAACTGGACAGCGCAACACACCGATCTTCAAGAAAGTTTACGGGTAGCGTGGAGATGGCAAAAGTCGCATCGCAATGGCTATGGGAACGCTTTGGTTATGTCTTCTTGAAGCACATTGGTACTGACTTGTGAGGATTAGTTCATTTTGGTCACATAGAAGTAGGAGAATACCATTACTACTAATATTGTTTGTACCATTTTTTGTCATGTATTGGATAGATTGGTTATTGATATGAATGCATCATGGTGGGATGGCATCTTGAATCATTGTTCTTATTTCCCTTTGAACAACGTTTTGATGGAAGCATTATTAGTAAGGATTTTGTGTTAAAAATGAATTGAAAACATTTACACTTAGAATTTATCAACTCAAAATTATAGATATGTATATCACATGTAAATATATAACTCTTTCAATGCTAAATATGTATATCCATTGAATAAATCCTTATCATCCAAATGAGATTAATAGAGCTTAGCATTGACATAGCATGGAATGTAGGTGCCATGGGATAGCCAATGCATGATTTGCAATGCCCTAAGCATTTTATGCTATATAGCAAACACGTGCATGCATCCATCTCGACTAATCTATACAAAAACTCTTTTATCGATGAAAAACATTATGAAAACATTAAGAACACGAGTTTGATTTGAATATTTGAGATTTTGAACAGAAAAAAATGATCCTTATGGCTCTCCCTTCTCTTCTTATCATTTGAGAAGAAGATTAACTTCTGCAGAGGAAGCAGTTAAAATGCCAAAAGACTCACCACTCAAATTACAGTTACAATTTCAGACCTTAATTATTTTAACTTTTTAACCATTTCACTCTAATCCCATCATCATGATTCCCATAATGCCAAAGCTCTCCTCTTTTGCACATTCCCTTACTTCCGATCCCTCCCCCTTCCCTTCTCTTCTCCTACTACTTCTCGTCTTCACCCTTCACGTCCCCACATGCCGTTTCTTCTCTTATTTCCTTTCTGCAAGCCCTTCTCTGTACTACCATTGTGCTGCTGCCCGTAGGAACTGGCTGTGCAATCCCATTGCAATATCCACTCCCAAACGGCTGCCTTCTGGTGGTTGGTCTTTACGAGTTGCGCCAATTGCCTTACTCGTGGTGGTGAGTTGGTTGACTAAGAAGGATGCGGAAGGAGTCACTGCTCGGAACTGGGGATCTTGGTGCTGTCATGTTCCGACCATCTCGGACATGAGGAAGCACAAGACGGAGGCTGAAGGAATTGGTGGTTGTACTCCTTGGGTTCTTGTGGGAATGATATTGTTACTATTCAATATGGCTCAACGGCAGGCGCTCATTCGACATTGCTTGTTTGTAAGTATGTGAACTAAGGTTCTATGGAAGGAGATAAACTCGAGAGTGTTCTCAAAGAAGCTGTTTCCTCTATCATCTTTTAGTGATTTTGTACAGTTTACAGCCTCTAATTGGAGTGCTCCGTGTCACGGTCATGCTTGTCTTGGCCACATGCCCGTTACACTCCGAAACCCTTGTCTTGTACTATTTTATCGCTTTCCTTTGACTTTCGTGTTGTATAATTTCTTTCTTGCTTTTTCTAAGAGTATAACGTTTCAACAAAATCATGTCTACACCTAGTAGACATGAAATGCCTCATAATGTACTATAGAGGGATGTAACTAGTTCTCAAATTGCCCCTACCCGAAAAGTTATATACTGTTCACGCTGTTGTTGTTGCCTTTTGCTTGCATGATATATAACACTGTTTTCAATCTCTCACTCAACCTTGCTTTCAAACTCTTTTGTCAAAATCTCTCTACCCCGCTTTCTAAAACCTTCTTCTCAAATTGGGGCCAGAGACTTGAGCATACGTTCGCCGGCCGTAAGCGATGTGATCCGAAGTTGACTTGACTCACTCACTGTTAAGAGTGAGTGCCGCACAATTGCCAAATCCACTGCCAAGAAAAAGGCGATTTTGATACTCAGCATAGGTTATTTCGTAACTACTCTAAAGAAACCATGAATCTAGATTGGAAAGTCCTTTTGTAACCCTTCCTTCATAAGAAAGGACCTTATCCCTTTGTCCCTTGGGTTGTTTTGATCTGCATTTCCCTTGTTTCTCATTAAAAAGAACGCAAGTGAATTAATCCTTCTATAAAGTATACTTGATCTAAGTAAGGAAAGAAAAGAAGTATACACCTAAAGACTGATGAACTATCTTTGTTCAATTTATGTTTTCGTGAGACCTGCAAATCAAACACACTAATCACTTGCATTACTTTATACTATAAATGATCAGACAATGTATATCAGTTTCATGTACATGCATATTGGTCGATGAGATAGACGAGTACTCTCGGATGAATGTATAGATATAGCATGACGTAAAAGGACGTCAAAACCCATAGATTCATCTAATATCAAAGGTAGAAAGTGTATTTCTTGTCATGGTTTACATAACTTCCACAAAATTTAAATTGGGACATTCGTGACTAGCAAAATTACCTGTGATGGCATTGATCTGTACACTGCAATACTCTATACCATATTCCTCTGCAGATTATCGACAATTTGCAGCCCACTTTCAGATGCAATAACTGCTGTGCAACTGTAACACACGGAAAAGTATAAGGAAGAACTCGACTTGTCAGAACTTCAATCTAGGGTGTTATTAGCAAAACAAAATGTGCATAGTGCTGAATAGTTAAGGAGGTTAGGAATAACGACTCTCCACAATAGTATGATATTGTCCATTTTGAGCTTAAGCTTTCGTGGTTTTGCTTTGGGCTTCTCCAAAAGACCTCATACCAATGGAGATGTATTCCTTACTTATAAACTCATTATCATCCCCTTAATTAGTTGATGTGGGACTCCCGCCCAACAATCCTCCCCTCGAACAAGGTACACCATAGAGCCTCCCTTGAGGCCAATGAAGTCCTCCAATAGTCTTCCAATTAAGGCTCGATTCCTTTCTTTGGAGCCCTCATGCTTTGTTCGACACTTGAATCATTTTTTTACAACATTTTCGAGGTTTACAACTTCTTTGTTCTACATTTGAGGATTTTATTGACATGGCTAAGCTAAGGGCATGACTCTAATACCATATTAGGAATTACGACTCTCCACAATGATATGATATTGTCAACTTTGAGCTTAAGCTCTCATGGTTTTGCTTTGGGCTTCCCCAAGAGACCTCATACCAATGGAATACCAATGGAGATGTATTCCTTACTTATAAACCATTATCATCCTCTTAATTAGTCAATTGAGACTCCTGCCCAACAATCCTCAACAAAAGACATGTGAGGGCTAACCGAGGAAGATAATTCCTAAGAAAATGAATGTGGAATGGAGTATAATTCACAAGTATTGTTTTTCTGCTATGAATAATATCAATTCGACAAAGTAAATTTGTTGAACTTGAAGCAGATGGAAGAATAATTCTGAAAATGGAATAAGCCATAAGGTATGCAGACATCCAATGCGTAGAACCAAGCAAGAGGAATTTCATTTTAGCAAAAAGAAAAGCAACTGAGAGAAATACTGACGGAAACTTAGAAATGACTCCATGATCTACAATTCCATCGATCTGCTCAAGACTTTCTGCCACTGCAGCTGCAAATGCATTTCATGTGCTTAGAAACTATTTCATGTCATCTATGAAGAAATGAAAGTAGAGCCTAGAACAAATCATCACGCACCCAGACTTGATATTGGAGATGTAAATATGACATCCAGAATGTTATGCCCTTCTCTAGTGACAAATGGAAAGTCGCCCCCAAGGGGACCCGCATGCCCAATTGATGGCCTCCTCCATACCTTAACGTGGAAAATTTGATGTCATGGCAAAGCTTAATAATCTAACATAGAACTATTAAAATAACTAAATGAATAATTATTTGTGTTTTCCCCAGTAAATAATGATGCTTAGAAACCAAAGGTTACCAAGCCATACTGAAGACATGTTTATGATTGACATCTCTCGTTCATTTCTTTTCCAAATAAAATTACTATATTACTTTTCCTGAATAAGGACCTTTTTTGATTTTTCGCGCTCATGGAAGATCCGTCTTAAAAGATACACAGCTAATGACAAAGAAAAACAAACAAATCATTATTTCATGTGTTGAGCATAGTTAAAGCGACCATGCAATGCATAGATTCACAAAGAGTGATTCGAAATTGAAATAAAAATATAAGAGAGAACAAAATCAATATTTCAATATGTTTAGCATATGTAAATAGAACATGCTACCTTTATATTGTCCTGTTAGATCTGCAATTAACCCTGCGCACACTTTTGAATTCATCATTTGTTTAAGCTTGATTTTGTAATGTACAAAGTTACAATTTACAAACATTTGATCATCTTTGTCACAAATTACATTAATTGGTATAGCATTCATCAAAAAGAAAAAAGAAACTATACTGAGCATGGTGCGTAAGCAGGTCAAACTAACGAGTTTGGCTTTCTGAGCTACATGGGTAAATAATAAAATCAAGCGATTCCACTTGGTAAAAGCAGGGTAAAGTTTGACAAAATTGTAATATCCGTCAGTAAAAAGCTTACCTCGGCATCCCCTAAAAAGAGATCATCAATTTCTTCTGCAGTTTGCATCCAATTAAGCTGAAAATAAATTTCAGTGTTTCTTCATTAGCTATCTGATAGTCTATGTCATATATAAGCCATGCTATAGATGATATTGATGTCTTCTCACAGAATTCACTAGAACTGGAATAGAACCCTCGGGCCCACCCATATATTGGCTATCTTTTACCATGAATGCAAGCTGGTTCGAAGCATTTAATATATACTGCAAATAAATGAAAAACAAGAGAAAAAGAATAAGAAAATAGATGATCACGAAATGATATTTTCTCATTAATTGTGATCAACAGTAGCCCTATATATAGGCTTACTGTAAATACAAAATAAACAGAATTACATATGAAAGGTAGAAGTAACTACCGTTATCACCAGTAAACTAAGTATTAACAGACGTTGAGATATGATTCAAAGTATTCAAAAAGAATATATGTTTTGAAGTAGTTGAGATATGATTCAAATATTCAAAGAGATTTTAGGAAATTGGGAGTAGATTTGAATTTATCTATATTTCCATAATTGACTAATTTTGGTATGAGAGCCAGGTTCCTTCAACACAAACCAAAAATGGCAGTAGCTGGTTTTTTTCCTCTGCAAAGTTATTACCAATCTTTAATGGTGAGAAATATGAGTGGCGGAGCATCAAGATGAAGA